TCATTTTGTATTTTAACTCATCCATGTTTGATGCTTTTAAGGAGGATAAAATTAAGGCAAAACTCAACAAAATAATCTTAAAAGAGAAGAAAATCATCTACAACAGTCTAACAGAGACAATTGAGAAAAACATGAAAAAGTGCTATGAAGGTAAGAAGATTGTCAGCTTGTCACTATAATAAATCACAATTGTACATAAAAAATGTTTTGACAAAGTTTATTCTTTTCTTGTAGATGCACGAAAAATTTCAGGAAATGATGCACTAAAAAAAATGAGGAAGACTATTGAGACACATGTATCCTTAAATAGGAACATGTATGAGGACGCAAAAAAGACCATGATGAAGAAGATGAATGAACTGATGGTTTGTCACATTACAAATTATACTGAGACCATGTTGGGGGGTTTTCTACATTTGAGTGTTTTTGCTCAGTCTGGACATTCTCTAAACATTAGTGAAGTGGCTGTTAACATTTTTATTTTTGAGCATAACAAAGATTTAGTCTGCAATGATGAGCTGAACTGAACTGAAGAACTCTAAACAAACACCCACCCATTAATTCAGGTGTTTCAGTTGTTTTAAACCTCAATATTTGACTCTGTGAAAAGTAATGAAAGCTCTGATGTTTAATTAGATGATCATCTGTAAGGAACTGAAGGAAACCATGGACCACTCCATTAAACTCTCACTCAAGGCATCAGCTTTGAGTGAGAGTCTCCCAGGTAAAGTAAATATAGGCTATGAAAGTAAATCGTTAGTAAAATGTTGAACAATGCTAAGCCCATGTTTTTATATATTTGTTTGCTTTTCAGATGTTTCGGAGCATCTTGAAACTGTCCAGCAACATTACAATGAAGGTAAGGGCAGTCAAGAGGGAGAAATGACATCACAGTAACCAGGTAAATATTTAAATGTTATTTCATGTTACTTTAAAAGTTCCTGTGAATTCTCAAAGGAAAAAGGGTGAAATCTGATGACAATCCTAAGCACCTAAGTATACAGTAACTTTTAAATTTTTACTGTTTAGTGTCAATAAGTGTGCCATAATTTAAGATCAGAAATAACCATTTTAACCCTGGAGAACCCATGGGGTCAAATTTGACCCCATGGGTTCTCCAGGGTTTCCCTAGAAAACCAATGGGGTCGGCTCTGACCCCATGGGTTCTCCAGGGTTAAATTACATATGTCCATTTAACCTGTCCATTTGTATTTTCATCATCTCAGCTAAAAAAACAGCTGGTTCTTAGCTAGCATTGTGCCAAGTAATGTTATGCAGTGTTAAAGTATGACACCACAATGTTACATCTACTTTAAAAGAAGTTTAGCAGCTGCTAAACAACTGCTAACAGTGGTGAAAACAG